TGATAAATCTTGAAGAATTAAAATTATATTTATTAATAAAAGTATATGATTTAAATTACGTTGATGGTATCCAATTATATAATGAACTTCTTTGTCATATGAAAAAACTAGATAACTTTACATTTAATATTCAAACATGTGTCTTGAGATATAATGATATTAATTTTTCATCAAATGAAGATATTCAACGTAGTTTTATTGGAAAAGGAATATATCCACATATTAATTCATATATTAGTATTCATTCACATATCGAATCAAAATGTCATATTTATTCACTTCCATATCAATTCGAATATTTACTTGAAATCAATAATTCTTTTCCAGGAGGCATGTTTCATACAGTTCGATATTTGGTCGTTATTGATATATTTCCTTTTGAGCATAAACTCTTTCAAATTATCTCTCATGATATACCTTTTATCGAAATATTACATATACGTAATGATCAACCACAAGAAGATAAACCAAATTCGTCTACTGAATTAATTACATTTCCTCATCTTAAACTTCTTAATCTACAATCGGCACATACAGATTATGCTGAACAATTTCTCTCAAAGAAAATAACTTATCTATCTCGTTTACTTAGTCTTTACATCAAATATGAATTACTTACAATAATAACAAACAATTTTACCATTGATACAACATATTTTAACTTTAGTATAGTCAAAGATCTTGATCTAGATCAATCATTTTCTTCAGAAAAATGTCATCATTATTTTCCTATGTTATAAATTGCTTTAATAAAATAAAAGTTTGATAGAATTGTATATTTTTTATCTTGTGCTGTACTATAACAAAGGAGAAAGAGATAAATATGGTCATCCCTTTTTTAATATTGACAAAAAGAATGATCAGTTGTGTTTTATATTGAGATATACTATTTTTGCCAAACAAAAACATTGAAGATATTCGATTTGACACATGAATGGTCTTGTAAATTGTTGATGCCAATTTGAGTGTGGGTGTAGATAAGGAAGAGAAACCCTACTTACACCTACAGTCTCAAGAGATAATAGAAGAATAACGATTTGTTCTGACCAAGATTTGTATTTTGCTTTTAATTTGACGATTCTAAGAAGAAGATGGAGATATGATAGGATGAGGATGAATGTTGATAAAATAAGCACAACACTCAGACTCTCAAAATTATCTTAAATTTTAATGTATATATATTAAAATCAGATAATTCAATTAAAAAATAGTGGGTTTGAGTCGATGTCTAGTATGAATATGGGTGGGTTAAAGGGAGAAAAGCGAGACTTCATCTACTTTAAAATTTTTTGAAGTACGACGGAAGTACAGAAGTATCGCTTTTTCTCTCTTGAGAACAGTTCATTTATCTTTTGATTTTTCAAAAGAATATTGCATCATCAAATTCAAAATAAATTCAGTGCTGTAGATAAGTATTTATTAACATTATCATCTGTTTCAAAAATGCAAAAAAAGCAAGAATTTTAATTGGAATCTAACAAGATAAATGTTTCTAATATGCATGATGATAGTCAATATAAAAACTATCCAATTAATTTCGACTTTTAATTGTTGCATATTTGACACCAAGACAAAAAGCCAAGAGAAGACAAATAAAAAAGCCAATTGTTTGTACGATAAACATTATTATATATCGACTGTCGTAGATTATCTCAATTGGTCGACATCCCAACACACTGGCTAATTGATAGCATATCAACGATATAACAAGACAGATTAATATCTTACGACACCAGCAAAACCATTGGTAAGGTCGTATAAGTTCCTCATAAGGAAGATTTCGATAAATAATTAGTGAAAACATTAACATTAACTGAGAACATATACAGAGTAATACGAGTATTAATCTCATGTCTCTATAACTAATAATACTATCCATAGTAATTGATGATAATAATGTGCAACGATCTGTAAAACGAGAAAAAAAACTAAATGTTTTATCACTGTTTTTAATACATGAATCTATGGTGATAAAATAAAATCCTCAAGTACTTACTTATAAAAGGCAGAGTTGTTAACTCAGATTTTTTCAATGGATTAATAGTTTTAGCCAGTAGGAAATTAATACTATCGTCGAGATCCACACTCATAATTGGTAACCAAAAAAGGGTATGATTGCACATAAATAAGATGAACGAATAGATTAGTCGGAACTTATTTGTCCAAGCAAACATTCGATTTATACGTGGTCGATACCTAAACATAAACGAAAATTTAGATCATTCCACTTGCAAGATCGCGTCTGTTTATAATCATAGTTGCAAACAGAACATACCCAAAATGGCTATACAACATATCTGCTGCTGAAAATATGAGCGACTGATGTCTCGGTTCTTGTTGTTGTACAGGAAAAGAATGAATAGTTGCCATGATGTCACTAAAAAGACCAATACTAAAAACAAATCTGATCTTTGCTTCTTTGAAGAAAATTATAATTAATCGATAATAAAAATCGTCTTCGAATGCTTCTCCATTCATCTTTAATTATTTTTGAGTAGATCAAACTGTAAAACGTCGACACTCAAAAACTAGTTTCCTCTTATTATTTTCGTTTCATGATAATATCATTTTTATCTCCTCTATTAAATAAATAGTAATAGGATTTTTTTACAATCAAGAATAACGACACATTTTCTCTAACTCATTTTATTATTCTCTGATGGAATTACTCACGTTTATTTGAAAGTTTTTTTGCTGCCTGCGAGAAATCAATGAAATTCAACAACACCTATGTATGTATAATCAATTTATAACTGGTGATCAAACAATGACAATATTGAATGACCTGCCTCATTTTGCCTATATTATTGACGAATGAGAGAAAATGTAGGAAGATGTATTAGTCAAAAAACAAAGAAATAAAAAATGAATAGTTATAGACCTAATATGATTCACTCCATGAAAGTATGAGTTGTCTATTTTTTTGTTTTACATATTTCGAATATGAAATTATAATTTAATTTAACTATTGATCAGCTGATATCTTCCTTTTTACTGGATCATTTCTTCGAAACATAAAGAAAAATGTCTTTAATATATGAATTACAAATAAAGCATTTATCACAATGATATATATCAAATTTTCATTTCTATTGCAATCAGAGTAATTAAGAATATCAAGTAGATTTTTTCGGTAATATTTATTAATTCTATTGAACAATAAACTGAGCATGTTGTACATTTCTGATGATAGGACTTTATTGAAAAATCGATACTAACAGAATAGGCGACAATTAAATGACGTTATATGAGTCAAAACATAATCACAAAAATAATACAAAAACTATATTTTGATCAATATTGAGAAACTAATTCTTATCAGTTTCTTCGTTTAACTAATGCATATTTAATACCAAGAAAAAAAGCTAAGAGAAGACAAACAAGAAAACCAACTATTTTTATGATGAGCATTGATGTATATCGTATATCATAGAGAATCTCAATGGGTCGACATGATAATGCATTGACTAGTTGATTGCAAATCGTAGTAAGAACAAGACAAACAAGTATTTTAAAACACCAGCGATACCATCGATAAGGTTTCATTAATTGATCATAAGAAACACGTGAATAAAACCATTGAGCCAATATACTCAATAATATAGAGATAATGTACAATAATATGATTAATAAGCTCATCGATGTGTAACTATGAATATTGTTAGGAATAAGTAATAATGGTGATGAACAACGGCCTGCAAATATATAATGATGAAAGAAAACTTATTCTGTATTTTCTCGTTTGTGTTATCAAACAATATTTACTCATAGCGGCTTGTTCGAATAAATTGTAAATCATCGATGATCCATTACTTTCAGATAATGCAGACTGAAAAATAGGGTCATTTGAGTATTTATTCATAGAAGGCAATCGAAGAAAATTATAGATGCATAATATTAATATGATCAAATGCACATATCGCAATTTATTAGACCAAATAAATATTCGATTAATATTTGGCTGAGATCTATAGAAAAATAATTAACCAAATAATCTAATTGATCAGCTATCTTCTGATATTTTACATACGACCTACCTGAAGTGTGAGTGAAAATTATCCATATCATCAATATTTGAGTGTTTGGAAATGTGTCTATTAATGTTAAGTCTTGCTGTGAATGTGAAATAGAAAACAAAACTTTCGATAAGTAATAAAATAAATTTTTGATTAATTCTATAACAAGAAATAATAAATGAAAAATATGCGATTATTTCTTTTCCAATGCATATGGCGACCAATAAATAATTATTTGATATTGAGAAAGAAAAACTGAGAAGCAGACTAAAAGGATAAAATATGTATGAAATGGACGAGCAAATACAATAGTCAACAGGTCATGTTCATCAACTATACATCTTTGTTATAAAAAATTTCAGGGTGCGGGTGTGCGTGTTGCTAGATTGAACACAACAGCGGCAGCCACACCCTCAAGATGGTTTACTGCTTATGACGTCTTTCTGTCTTCTTCGACAAGTTAGATGAAAAATTCTTGACTGTTAATGAAATACTAACAAAGACAAATATTTCTCATCCAATGAGCTTGACAAATTTCGCTTTTTTATTCTATAAAAATGAACGAATTTTTGATAAACTTCGCTAATTCATAAAACAACCAATGAAAATAAAAGAATAAAAAAAATATCGTCAGCTTTTATTTATATATTGACGACGAATGTGAACAATGAATATTTAGCTCTATAAAATGTTCGATAAATTCAATGAATATCATTTATTTCACTTCGATTGATACAAAAAATATAGTTATGCATCGATTCGTTTATATAGTCATGATCATTGCTGTTTTTATCTTGCTTAGGTAATCAGTTGTAATATATTTATTTAATCGTATTATTCTTGTTTATTTTAGTATGATGAATTTTACTACTGCTCGACGTATATTTAGATGTCCGGAAAAAGATATCGACGAAGGTTGTAAAGATCCTCTGTCATGTATGTATCCAAATCCTAACGATTGTAATGGATTTATTCAATGTGATGATTCTGGTCGAATTTATTACAAAAGTTGTAATCCTGGATTGCTATGGAATGATATAATTAGAAATTGTGATATACCACGTCATTCAACTTGTGGATTCTATGGTTAATACTATAGGTTATATGATATTACTCTATTAGTTATGAAATATTTTGTATATGTATTTTCTCTATTAAAATAAATCATAATGAACATAAAACTTGATTCAATTTTCATAAGATAATACAAAAGAATATTTATACTAGAATGAAGACTGAAGTGTGTTGCATTAGTTTTTTCACTGTCAGGAATGTTTGATAGTATTGTTTCTATGAAAAAATAATAAGGAATAAATGAACAACCTCTTCTACTTTATATAAACATGAAAAATGTTCATGTACTATTAAATCAACACCCTTTGTGTTTGTAAGTTAATCATGAATACTAGACACGTCTGAAAATCTATAACATATAATGTATGAAAAAAATATGAACTTTTATAATTTAGTTTGCGCATGAATTAAACTACAATAAATCTAAATAGGCATTCATAATTGTTTTAAATTTAAGGATTTTAAAAAGAAGATAGATAAAAACAGTTTTCTTTTGATAAAATAATGGATTCTTGTAGGTATAATGTATTTTGTTAGAAATTACTGAATGCAAAGAATATTTTGTTCTCATTTAATACCTTCGAAAAATATTACAACAAGAAAAAATTGTAACATGAGTACTTTTAGTAATTCAAATCGGTGTTCATATGATTCTTGCAGTTCCATTTGGTATTATATATTTAATGAATACATTTGCACCATTGACTAGAACAGCACTTATGTTAGGTGTACGACAGATTTTTGTTGATTAGCAACGATGTGATTATTTTTTGCTCCTTTTTTTCTTTAATCATCGTGATCCTTGATAAGCCATGCTGCCACTGGTGACAATACATAGTTCTGTGCCTGAATGTCTAAAACATAGACTAAAATTAATTCGCTGTTGTTCTTATTGTTGTTAATAAAAAAAGTTCGTAGTTTTTAGTATATTTGTAATCAATTCGTATCGTGTATTTTCAATTATTTTTACGAATATAATATCATTCTATCGGATAGATGTCATACTATATTGGTTTGGTTTTCATAGAAATTAGTGACATAATAGTAGAGAACGTTGTTCTTTATATTGAATATGGCTGGACCAAGTATTTTTTTTCCTTACTATTCACATGCCAAAATATCTTTTCATCTTATAGATTATTTTAGTTGAATTGAAATATGTTACTTCGCAGTCTTGTTCGTGGTGCTGGTAGATTTGCAGGTCGTTCTTCCGTAAGTTACTTTTTCATTTACTTTTAATAATTATTTATTTTCTTATAGTTTCGAAATATAGCAACTTCTCTTAAAACAAATCCATCATCATCATCATCATACCAAGAAACACTTCTTAATGTACCTGAAACTCGAGTCACAGCAATTAAAAATGGTTTACGTATAGCATCAGAAGATTATGGTCTACCAACATGTACTGTTGGTGTATGGATTGATGCTGGTAGTCGATTTGAAAATGCAGAAAACAATGGTACTGCTCATTTTCTTGAACATATGGCTTTTAAAGTAAAAATCAACTATAATATATCGTACTAGAAAAATCAAATTATATTTTTCAGGGTACAAATAAACGAACACAACGTCAACTTGAACTTGAAGTTGAAAATCTCGGTGCACATCTCAACGCTTATACATCAAGAGAACAAACTGTTTATTATGCTAAATGTTTTAGTAAAGATTTACCACAAAGTATATTTTATATATGATTTGTAGTTTTTAAATATATAATTATAAATTTTTTGTATACTAATAGTTGTTGAACTTCTATCAGATATAGTTCAAAATAGTCGATTTGGTGAAGAAGAAATTGAACTTGAACGTCATACAATATTACGTGAAATGCAAGAAATTGAAAATAATTTACAAGAAGTTACTTTTGATCATTTACATGCAACTGCATATCAAGGTACACCATTAGGTAGAACTATTCTTGGCCCATCAGAAAATATCAAGTAATTTTACGAAAACGAAATCTATTCTTTTATATCTTTTAAATATTATATTAAGATCAATCAAAAAAGCTGATCTATTAACATATGTTGGATCACATTATAGAGCACCACGAATGGTTTTAGCTGCTGCTGGTGGTGTTAATCATGATGAATTAATTCGTTTGAGTGAAGAACATTTTGGAAAATTAAAAGCTGGTTATGAAGAAGTACCTGATCTTTCACCATGCCGGTAGATTATTTTAATCTATTATTTATTATAAATGAATAAAAGAATTTCTTTTTCATTTTTTAAGATTTACTGGAAGTGAAATTCGTGTTCGTGATGATGATATGCCATTAGCACATATTGCTATTGCTGTTGAAAGTACTGGATGGGCTGATGCTGATACTATTCCATTAATGGTTGCATCAACTATCATTGGCAATTGGGATAGGTAAGATAATTTACTTATTCTTATAACTTTATGAGCTCTACAGTTTTAATATTTATTTAATTAATTAAATAGATCAATGGCTGGTGGTGGTCATGTTGCAACTAGACTTGGTCAACAAGCAGTTAAATATAATCTATGTCATTCATATCAAGCATTTAATACATGTTATACGGATACTGGTTTATGGGGAGCTTATTTAGTTACTGATCGTATGAAAATTGATGATGCAATGAGTGCAATACAAGATGAATGGTATTTTATTTCAAAACTTTTTGTTTCTTTTAATTAATTTGTGTTCTCTTTACAATTGAAAGGTGTCGTATTGCCACATCATGTACTGATGTTGAAGTTACAAGAGCTAAGAATTTACTTAAAACTAATATGTTATTAATGCTTGATGGATCAACACCAATTTGTGAAGATATTGGACGGTTAGTTTTTTTTATCTAAATATAATCAGTAAAATTATAATTTTTTCTTTTTATAGTCAATTACTATCCTACGGTCGACGTATTCCACTACATGAACTTGATGCACGCATTGATGTAAATCTATTTAATATATCTAATAGAAAATATTAATTTTAATTTCACTTTCAGGCTGTTGATGCAAAAACAGTTATGGCAGCAATGAATCAATATGTTTATAATCATTGTCCAGCTATTGCTGCAGTTGGTTAGTTAATTTCTTATCTAATTAGAAAAGTTTTTTTTATTGAAAATTATTTTAGGTCCAGTTGAACAATTACGCGATTATAATCGAACACGTAGTCGAATGTATACAATATCACATTGATTCAACAAAATCAATGATATTTCTTTTTTCATTTGATTATAGAACTTATTTATATAAAGTAGACATAAATCCGTTTTGCTTTTGTTAATGTTAACAATAAATGTAGAGAACTGATTTTTGTCTTTAAAGAAAATAAATTCTTTTTTCAGAATTTGTCTTCTTTTTAGTTTTCTTTGGAGATTGTCTGAGTTGTGGAGAATGCAATCTCAACTGTTTACTACTACTTTCATGTCTTCTAATATGAATGATCATTTTTACTTTCATTTTCAGGATGTGTAGCATGTAATATGTGAAGAAAATATATGCAAAGATGTACATCCGATACGTTCAGAACTTAGTCCGATTGAATCTATTGACTGAATGCTTTGCAATTATTAGCAATACTCTTGTGATTTTGACTATGATGTGATCTGTCAACATTTGTATTTTTTTCTTTACTCTTGATAATACTATATTTAACAGTTCTAACTCGAAGATCAATGATTATTATTCCAAATATGTACAATAGTTGAACTTAGATTTTGTTTTTGAGACATTCTCTCTTAAAGGATGAATTTCTATAACAAATCACGGTACGTACAATCAAAAGTGCCAATAGTGTTCTTTGTACTGCCACCATGCCAACACTGTATGAGTAGAGGACGTCATTATTCATTTTCAATATGGTTGAACAACAATTTTATTTACTATTAAAACATCAGATCTATTTTAGATATGAAAGATTTCAGTAATCTTTCGTCATCATTAAATCGAATATGTATAAATGAGTTTTTAATACGTAGTCATCCATATTTAATTTCAATGTGTATTAACAATACTTCTGAACAAATTCATATAGATATTAAAATTGAAGCTAGAGAAACTGGTGAACAATGGAAATCAAGTTTTGATGCTAATTGTAAATATTTTACTTGTTAAGAATCGATCTTTTTCTGATTAGTTTTCTACTAGATATTGAAACTATGACAACAAAAACAGGCAATTTTAAATCATTTAATGTATTTATTGATATGCTCGAAAATGCGATAAATCAAGTAAAATTTCTTTTTGACTTTGTATAAATTATAATTTATTGAAATTAGAAAAGTTCATCATTAAGTCTTGATCTATTAACTTGTGATGATCTTGATTTATTACGTAAAAAACAAGAAAATCATAAAAAAAAATCCTCAACAAAACGTTATTTAATGTTGATTTATCATGCTGAATATGATCGTATTTATTATCCATTATCTCTTCGATATTGTGATAAATCAGATCAAAACAGTTTAGTAGAACAAATGCATCAATTAATTATTGAAAATCAATTATTAAAAAATCAAGTAAAAATTTGTCCTAATCGAACCATTAAATTTAATAAATTTTTCAATTTAGTTTGAATCAGATAGTCAAAATTTCAATGAACATGAGAAGTAAATAGATTTTTATTCTATTATTTAAATAAATTTTTTTTGTTATAGATGTCTTCGTTTAAAAAAAGAAAAAGATCAACAAATTGATTTTTTACGTCAAATGATTCGTACAAATGAAGATACTTTAATTAAAGAACGAATTCATTTACAAAAAACGAAAACAAAAAAAAATAATCGTAATAAAATATTTAATGATCAAGTTAATCAAAATTTATTTTCTATTAAAATTAAAATGAAAATATATTTTTAATTTATCTTTATAGATTGATTTATTAAAAACATCGGAAAGACAATTAAAATCACAAGTCAAAGTTTTAACAAATGAAATTGATTTATTAAAGAAAACGTAAATATTTCTGTGTAAATATCGGAAAGAAAATTTTGTATTTTAGTTGTTCACCATATGATTCTCAACAACAAGTTAGATCATTATCTCGTTTACGATCAGGTGATCAACGTCAATGCCGTTCAGCAAGTATAACTAAACGATTACCATCAGCATATAGTAATATTAGTTTTTCAATTATTTTATTTTATTTTTGAAATTTGTTCAGATTCTGATGGTCGTTTTAATCCAACTGCTTATATTCATGAAAGAAATCTTAAAATACGACAAACTGAATGGCAAAAGTAGTTATATATTTCTTCTATTAAAAATAATAAGATTATTTTTTTCAGAAAAAAAGAAACACGTCGAAGATTAAGTACTGGTCGATATCATTCAGATTCGGATATTAGTGGTAGAAATTAAATTATTAATAAAATTTATTTTATTCGTTCTTTTTCGATTTCAAAAGATATTACTTCCAATTGTAATAATAATAACAAGTCATATAGTCAAAAACGAACTAAAACTATTGATCAACATAAATTCAATGATTCATTTGATTCCGTATATTATTTTAAATGATTATAATTGCATTACATAGATTATATTTAAATAGGATATTGAACGTGTTTCATGGCCACTTGTCTTACACAAAGCTGCATCGAATAATTCAACAATTCTATATTCTCCCGAACAAAGTAATTTTTCTATTAATGATGATAATCATGTAACTGATATTGATCAACGTATAAAATCTTTACAGAAATTTTATAAACAAACTTTTACACATTAAAACAATTCTTTCTTTTTTTAATATTTGTAAATTATTTATTATTAAATAAATAAAAATGAAAATTCATTGTCATTGAAAGAAGTTAATAGAATATATTTATATTTGAATAGTAAAAACGGAAATTAATTTTTTTATATAAAAGGAAATAACATCTATAAACAACGCATACTCTCAATTGAATAAATAAAAATAAAATATTCCGTTTCTTCTTCTCGAGTTTCAATTAAAAATAATTAAAGCACTGATCGAACTTCTTCACTATGTCATTTGCGGCAAATGATCAATGACTTAAATAAGAAAAAATATCCAAACTAGACCAAAAGCGAAAAAAAATTTTTTTTTAATTTATTTTCAATTAATACGCATATTTCAACAATAGAATAAAATGCGTAGAAATTTGTGCGCAAATTCTCAATTCGAAAAACTACGATTGTCAATATTTGTTTAATGAAGACTTCTAACAGCTTAATTAACTAATAAATATGCGAAAAAGGCGATTATATGGTTTCCATCGTATGTTATTATTCGTCATAATATAAAATTTTGAAAAAAGTATTTATGATAGACATCTAAATAAGAAAAAAAAAAGATCATTCCCTTTTTGTAAAAATATATTTATTCACTTTGGAGAATCAATGATAAGTTTGATCTATATACCAAAAAGAAGGAGATGTGTTCATTTTAAAAATAAAAAAAAAAGGTACAATAAACACCAAAACAATAAGAGCAAAACAAAAGATTTCTTTATGGTATTACATTATGTTCTTCTTCGTCTTCATCTTCTCTAATAAGAATAAGAGCTTCTGTAGCCATACGAACAATTAATGGACCTAGTAGGGCACCCCATGCTCCTAATAATTCTAATCCACCAAAAATTGTCAATAATAATAATAATGTTGACATTTGTAATGAACCTAATTTTGAAAAAACTGGTCGAAGTAAATTATCAACTGATCCAATAGCGAAAACACCAACCAAAATCATAATAACTGCTTTCATATGAGCTTGTTGAATAAAAAGACCAATTGTTATTGGAACCCAAACAATAGCTGTACCAAGAATTGGAATTAATGAACAAAGACCTGTTAAAACACCAAGTGCATACCATCGAGGAATTTGTAAACATAAATAAGCAACAGCAGCAACAAGACCTTGAACGACACAAGTTAAACCAACACCAATTAAAAGACCACGACCTGTTTCTTGAAAAGCATTTTTAAGACGTTCCATATGTTTAGCTGATAATGGACTATGATCGATAGTCCATGCCCAAATTTCAGGTCCATGTAATAAAAATGTATATGTTGATACTAGAAATATTAATATACCAATTATAAACTAAAAATAAAAATAAAATAATTTCCTTTTCTATCAAATTATTTTAATTTCTTTACTTGTGCTGTAGCTCCAGCAACAGTTGATAAAACTGATAAAGCTTTTCCACCAAATAATTGTACAACATCAGCTATGGAATCACGTTGAATTAAGAATCGTTGAAATAAATTAAATGTTGCATTTTTTTCACCTTTTATAAAATCAATAAAACTTTGACTTGTCGAATTTGATAATGAACCGGTTCGATTATGATCTGTTGGAGGTACAAGGAGGTTTATAGCATTTCGAGCTGTTGTAGAATTTGACAGACTTGCAACAAAATTTAGGGTTGAACCCGTTAAAGCAATACAAATTAATATGATTGGTAATATCACAACAAGAACAAGAAAGACAAGTAAAAATGCAGCTATTGCTGATCGAGAACGTTTTTCTCGACATCGATTCATTAAAGGCCTAGAGAAAAAAAAACTTTTTTTTTTTAATATTACAATTAATCAAATTTATCCTAACATTTTTCTTTTGAAGGCATATTTTCATTAGATTAATAGCACTCAAAAACAAAAATTCCACTAGAGATAAGCCTCGATTATATAAATTTTATCATCCCCATTAAGTATTATATGAAGAAAAAATAAGGAAATTTATTTGAAAACTATAAATCTTACAAATGATTGACGAGCCATTCTAAAAGTGGTCTACATATAGTTGATAACCAAACAGCAAGAATTAATATTGAAATATAACGCCATATAATAACTAATGTTCCAAGTGCTAATATTAATGCACACCATCTCATAAGCCGATGTTGAGTTAGTACTTTAGGTGTTATTAACATGTCTGACTTGTTTTTTTCGTTTTCGTCGTACTGAATAGTTGATATGGGTAATATTGTATTGTCATGTATTAAACTAATAGATTCGTCGGCTGTTACCACTGATGGAGGTGGATTCTTTGTTTCAATATTCATTATTAACGGTTTTCAAACGGCCGAGTGTTGTTTTTAACGATTTTCTTTGGCCATATGCTGCCGTTCTACTGCTTCACTCTGTTTCTTCCTCGTTTTTTTTCAGCTCGTTCTTTTACTTCTTTGATGTGTCAAAGGGAGAAAAGAAAAAAGCACGTTATATAGTCATGTAGTCAGAGAGAGAAAAAAAACAAGATAAATAGTCTTTTTTCTCAATGTTAGTACCAATCTCATCAGAAAAAAAGAGGATGAAAAGCTTTTTCAGAATGCGTGAACAACACGATAATAACCATTTTTTTGCTAAAGTTAATCAGCTATACAAATATGTAATAGGAATAATAAATAAATATTTTAAATATACATGACTAATAATATATATATATATGAAAATACAGCAATCGATAACTAAATATGACTATAAAACTTACTCTATTCATAGGCTTATCATTGTTGTATTGTATTGATAAGGATAAAAGGTAAAATAGAAGGACACCTTATTCAAATAGATATCAAGGATTTTTATTAATTAAAATATTTTGATAATTCATATTAATAAACACAACAAAAAATTTTACAAGAATAACAAAATATTTTTCTATTCCGGCGGGAATCATTTATTGTTTTTTAATAGTCATAAATGACTCTATTAATATTCAAACATAACAACACCTTTAGGGCGTATGATTATATTTAGTTAAAACAAAAAAAAAGTAATTTCTTTTTTCTTTATATGCCAATAGAAAATTTTATTAAAAAAAAAGACACTATTTCTTTTATTCTAAACATAAACAGGTTTAGGTTTTAAATGCTTTTGTTTTCTATATCTTAAAATAGCAAATACAATACTAATGATAAAAATAATTAGTAAGAAAATAAAAATAACACCAATAATAAAATAGATACGAGAAAAAATATTTTTTAGTTTAGATTTGGATGGGTGACTTATATTTTCATTGATTGGCTTAGATATAGTTGAATGAGTAAAAAAATCATCGTCAGAATTTTGAAAAATTGTTGAAGATGTATTTGATGTTATTGTTATTGTTGGTAGAGGTGCTGTTTGTCTAAAACAGAAAGAAATATATTTTTCTTGAATAATTTTTCTTTTTTATTTACTCTGAGTTTATATTTGTTTGATTAATAAGAAAATTCATCGTTTCAATATCACGTGAATCAGAAAATACATCAACCGATGGTAAATTATCATTTATTTCACTTGGAATATTATTGAAACGATTAGGATTAATAAATAATGGAGATTTTTCACGAAAATAATCACTTATTGTTGAACAATCACTAAAACGACATTGTTTCGAACAAGAATTATCATTCGAAAGATTTTCTTGAAATTTTTTATTTAATTGAATATCTTGAAGAATAAGTCGAGCACAATCACATTCAGTTAATGTTTCTATACGGGGAAGAATTAAATTTAATTGACGTTGATAATTTTTATGAATAAAATCAATTAAATAACAACGAGAATCTGGTGTCATTTCAGATAAATTAACTTCAGATAGATCTAAATGCCTTAAACGATTTGATAATTTATGTAATCCATAAGAATTTATTCGACGAAGACTAGAACCAAATTTTAAATTATGAATATGTTGTGCACCTAAAAGTGTTCGTTCATTTAAAGATTCAATATCTAATGATACAGAATCTAATGTTGGAATTAATTTATCAATTGATACTTCAAAACGTGGTTTAATTAATTCTAATCCACGTAAATTATTGTATTGTGGTATAAATGAATTCAGATCCATTGAATGTGCTTCAATAGAATGTATATTATATGAATAAACAGGAAAATAATATGGAAATGTATTTGAATCAATTGTATCAACATGACGATGAAGTGTTAATGATCTTACAAGACCTTTAAATGTTTGTCTTAAATGTGATGGACCAGGTGGAATTATTGAACCATGAAAATGTAATTCACCAATATTTGTATTATTAAATACATGTTCAAATGATGATAATGATGAAAAATGATCTCTTACTGCATGCATATAAATATTTAATTGAGATACTGTTAAACCAGAAAAACAATTTTCCGAAAATTTAAATTGATCAGCAACATTTATTGAATTATCTTCATCAGATTTCATCTAAAAATAAATCTTCATAATAATAATTATTAAAAAAAAATCGAAATAAATTACTTGAATAGACTTTGGTATTTTTGGAATAAAATGTAACCATAAACGTTTATTTTGATGTTTTCTTTGGAATATATTTGATGTTATAGATTGTTTATGAAATTTTATATGAGTAAAATGATTAAATCGAAGAGATATTTCAATTTGTGCATGAGCATCTGTTTGTGAAAATAACATTGATAAAGAATCAAATTGATTTGTTTGAATTTCAATTTTTTTTTCAAGAAAAAATTCAATTGATATTGTACGAAAATGATTTTGATTTTTAAAATCTGAACCAAATGGTTGTTGAAATGTTTTTTTATTTAATGAATTTCCTTGACAATGTAAATGTGAATAAATTTTTATTGGTGAAGGATGATTTAAATCTAAATTTGATTGAAAACATGAACAATTTAATAATGGAAATATTGAACATGATGTTGAACTATTTATCATTGGATAATTTATTATTAACACAATTATATTTAATATAAGTGAAATATAGAAATTCATCTTCATTCTAAATAATAATAATAGAAATACTTAACATGTATATTATTTTTCAAGAATATTATCTTAAATAGTTAATCTTATGTAACTTAAGCACGTATACATATTTCGTCAGTATATTATCAATTTACGACTTACTAAATGTTTTTCTTGCATTTTTATCGATAAAAATTTGCGGTTTAATAGATTTATTTTCTGATAAATATTTCTTCAAAGACTCATCACCTAAATGTAACAAGGTCACTTCTTCTTCTTTTAACATAACCGAAAGGAAATGTATGAAGGGATTATTTTTCTTGACATTACTTCCTTTGTAATACTTTTATGTTTTTTTTTCTTTTGATTATAATCTTACATAATTCATAAAATGCTTCTCGTACTACTCTTTAAAGTATTATATACGTATGTATATATACAATTAAATTTACTAAACTTGTTTTTATAAAGTTATGAAGTATAATACTATGAAGTTCTACAAATAACATATGTCCTTTAGATTGACAGATTATAATAGCATATTAATCAACCTTGAATAAATCATTTATCATTTTGTATTCTTATGCATCATGCTAATGTATGTCTATCCGGTAAAAAATATAGAAATAGTTTACCTTATTTATAAGATCATCTGACCATAATACTATGTATGGATATAAATAAATGCTCAATAAAATTGTATAATGAATGTAAATAAATATTAAATATAATATTACGTATATTATTATTACATGATAATTATATCTAAAGATAATTCGATTGTTGTAAAGAATAAAAATAATGAAGAAGAGAAAAAAAGAAAGTAAAATTGTATATGTGCATTCAATCGTACAACGTCATTGCGCAGACACTTGTCAAATCGTTTGCATACATACATTTACACAAATAGAAGAAGGTCGTTCTTCAATGTGCTTCTCATTCGACACTTTCAATACAATAATGGTTATTATCATATGGAGAAAGAAGAAAAAAAATATTTCAATCGATCATTTATCAAATAAAAAATAGATGAGAAAAAAATTCACCCACTGTTTTATCCAGTTAAGTCACACTAATTTTTAACAGAAAAATCTGGTTTCTTTCCTAAGTAAAATTATCTTTTTACATGAACTGGAATAAATGTTATTCAACAAAAAAAGCCCTACTTCTTGTATTCAATAGATTTGTAAATCTCTTAAAATAATGTCAAAGAATTGTCGATTACTTTGTCATCCATAAATATTGATTGAATCCAAGGTGACACTCAATTTTTTCATTCACAGCTTAAATTCTAAGATACACGTGCGTTCTTCCGAAAAAGAATGAAGAGAGCAAAAAAAAGAAGAAAAAAAGAAAGGAAAGAATAAATAGCTGCTGGTGCATATATGTCGGTTTTATATATACATGTATGTGTTCGCCAAATGATAACCTTCGAAGACAAAACACACTTGTATTCTCTAACTAAATAGCACAAAATAAGACTATCAGTCATCAACAAACAAATCTTTTTCTTTTCCTATTTTTCTTTTTTCCGTTCTTTAGGATAGAACAACAAAAAAAAGAGAAAATCTAATATGAAAGCGAGTATGTGAGGAACAATTTTCTTAAAACAAACTCGGAACATATATATGATTTCTGTCGGCAAACATCTAATGGAGATGTGAATAGTGAACACAGCTGTCAAGCTTTTTATTCAATTTGACTAAAAACAATGCCGTGAAAGAAAAAAAGTTTTTTTTTTTCTTCTAATTGAAAACAATCAATTAATGAACAATATATAATGAATAGAAGGACTCTCAACAGCATGTTGTCCTTGATATTTAATATGAGAAATAATCTGTTGTTTCTTTGACGTTCATCACATATTGTTGTCAATAATGACGAAACAATCAATCCGATTAAAGGTATCATTATTCATTAACATTCTATAAAGCACATGAACGTATATATTTATGTCACTTTAGAAAACAAAAAAAAGAAAGAAATGCAACCAGCAGATTATCGTCTTGTACGTTCACAGATTCAAGCTGGAGTGATGATACCGATTAAACGAACTATATATCCAAAAACTATTGATCATTTTTTTTCTTATTGGTTATATGGACAAAAAAAATCAATCGAACAAATTCCAGTTAATTTACCTCGATCTATGCCTTGTCTTGTTTGCTCAGATAATAATAATACAAAATATGAAGATTTTTCTTTATTGACTGTTGATATAAATCTATTTCTACGATGTTTACCTTTATTAAATAATGAACAATTATCAATACTTTATACATTACTTAATGATGATCAACAATCATATCAATATGCTATTCGACAACAATATCAAAATTATAAACAGCGATTACTTACAATTTTAAACAGACAAAATAATATGTGATTTAAGATTTTATTATTGATAATAAATTGAGAATTAATTAAATCTTTTTTTTTTCTAAATGGTATAAATGAACAATTCATGGTTCTATAGTCTAGTGGTTAGGACATTGGATTCTGACTCCAGTAACCCCTGTTCAAATCAGGGTAGAACCTGATTTTTTTGCCAGTTTTTTTTTTGCTATATCATTTTTTTTGACATTATCCAGATAAGCATCTGTTGTTTGTTATTTTCTATTGATATACATACATATGACAAACATGACGTCGTAGAAGATAAAAGAATAAGCAACAAGTATAGAAAGAAACGACAGGTGTGCTTATTATCATACAAAATTATATTCACATGCTCTAATCTTTTGTCTTTTGTTTAATTGTAGAGGTAACCTTTACTCTTTGAGCTATAATCTAAGAAGAAAAAAATAATGATTATTCGAAATTCTAATAAACAATATTTTCTTTTATAGATACGTTATTAGCCTACTCAAAACAATCATAAAGATTTTGTTGTTATCAGTAATAAATATGATTAAGCTTTATTGTCTTTTGTTCCCTAACTTGTTAAATATAAAAAAAATAACTTAAAAGAAAAAGTAGATATATGTTTAAAAATATGATACAGAACAGCAATATATTATGCGAAATATTTCTTTGAAATGAATCCTTTTTAATGTTCAGCTGATAAATGTGTTAACATTTGATTTCTTCTTTTGAGCTGATTTAAACGTGGTCTTTCAATAACTATCATATAAATTCCCAATAGAGTAAGCACAACAAAAGCAATGATGATTAAACTAATGCCAATGCTAATCATTACAGTTTGAGATTTCCATTGTTTATGTTCCCATTTAACTGAATTATAATTAGTTGATCGATCATAATAACATGGATATTCTTGTCCAATCTAAAGAAAAATTTTTTTCTATTAGAAAAATCTTTAAAAAGAAAGTATTAAACTAACTTGAATATTTTGTTTCTTTGAATTACCATTGATATTAATATAACTAAATATTTCTGTTCCATCAAATATTTCATATCTAACTTTAAATTTTTCTTCTGAACAAAAATATGTTATACAATTTGAATTATTACATGGATTACATGGATATGGAATTGATACTCGTTGAAATACAAAACATTTCGTTTCCCACTCATTACTTAAACTTTGATCAACTCGATTATGTACTTGTTTTATAACACCAACAGATCCCAAAACAGCACCAATAATTGCTATAATACAAGTAAATGTTGCAATACTTATTATCCATATAACATGTTGCGAATTTCTAATAGAAAAAAATTCATTTTGGAAATTTAAATCAAAACAACCTACTCATGGTTACGTCTAACTTTTTTATTGCTGTTAATTTGTATACTTGGTTTGCGCATCTTTACTTAATACTACTGTTGAAATTATACAGGTGAACTAGTATTTATTATGTTCTAAAATAAATCTGACGTCATACTAATATCTATACAGAACAAATCAATTATAAATGTCTACAAAATAAATATAAGTATAAAATAACGAACAGAAAAATTTTCACATATTAATCTTAAAACAAAAAAATCAAGAGCATCTTTTTTTTCATTCAAGTAAATTGTTGAATAATCCGATACAATTATTACTATTATTATTATTGCCATAAAAATTGTTGTTAAATTTTAGAATATATAAATAATCTTAGTCGTGTGATCAGTCAACTGGAACATAGCCTTATACTTAACAAAAGAAAATAAATGATTCACTCTAATTCATTGCACTATTATAATAGTAAATATACTTGATGATATTTGAAAGGATTGATCATATATTTTCATCAATTTGAATAAAAATGAAAAGAATTTTATGTACATAAATTAAATTCAAAATTTCTATTTTGGAAAGATATTGAAAATTATTGCCAATATATAATTATAATTGTCACAATTAACTAAGTACACATCGTAGCTTCTATTATTTTTCCTTGTCGACGTGGCAGAATGAGTCATAGATTGAGTTCTTATCCTAATCTTCTTCTGTACATTCTGAGACATCGAATACTGAAGCGACGCGCCATCTAAGAGTTTTTTTTTGTAGTGATGTTAACAAGACGAGCAATATAAATACGATTCGTACTTATTCTGACCTACCTTGGTAAGATGAAAACAAATATTTTTGTGTAAATGAATATTTTTTATTCAATTACTCGTCTATATAGTATAGACTTTGACGAAAAAGAAAATCTTCTTCCTATTTTTTTTATTAAATATCAAATGGAGAATATATAGAATTTTTAGATCATTTCAATTTGATTGTTCAATATGGTTTTCTCGAAATTTGATAGTTTACCACCTGAATTAATTGTAGAAATAAGTGATTATTTAGATGCATGCGATCTGTATTATGCATTTTATGGATTAAATCAACATATTACAACAATACTCGAGTAAGTTTTATTTCAATTATATTATGAAAAAACATCAATTATTTTCTTATTTAGTCAACAATGTTATCGACTTCATATTAATTTGATTTTTGTTTCAAAGATTAAATTTGATTTGTATTGTAATCAAATTCTGCCATATATTGGTGCTCATGTTATCTCTTTAACATTGAATGGAGATAGTTCATCAACACCTGGCCAGCTTAGACATTTTTTGACACGTTTTAATCCTCTTGCAAAATACTTTGTCAAACTTGAATCAATCAAATTATTAAACTTTACAAAATCGGATGTGGAAAATCTTGTAACTCATTTGTCTGGATTAATTCATCTTAAATATTTATCAATTGGTGACTATAAACGTTTAATGCCACTTACTATAAATACAGATGATTTATTTGATGAAACTATCACTTTACCCATATCTTTACGTAGCTTAGCATTTCCATACAAAATTTCAAATAAATGGATTCAAACATCGAATGTAACATCATTTATAGAACAACTACATGTTCATCTTATTCATATAGATTCAATATTTTTCTTTCTACAAACGTATCCTAATTTGAAACGTTTGACTGCTGTTCTATCAGGTATTACTGAAAATATTTTACAATTATTAATTAAAATTTTTATTGATATACTCACA